GGCCTGAGGGGGACGGGAAGCGCGGGAGCGCTGAGGGGAGGACGGCGGTAGATACCTGGCCGCTGGAAAAATAAAGCAAAGACGTAAAACACATGTGACCTTTCCACTATGTGAAGACGAGTCTGTTCCCCAGCACTTGGCGCCTAGCTAAGTCTAATTTTATTTCCGTTTTTGCTGTAACTCCTGTTGGGACGCCGGGCAAGCCCTGACTGAGCTTTGGCTAGTGTTTTCTGGGCAGGTTGCCTAGCGACAATGTCGAATCCCCCGCTGTGACCTTCCCCATTTCCCCGTCCAAACCGTTAATTAGTGAACGCTCCTTGGTTGTTCACAACAGCCTGCCTCCTCTCCTGCACAGAAAGTGTTCCTTCTCAATTTTGCCTCAGGCTTCCTTTGATAACGTAATACAGCCTTAAACAGAGTTTTCATAGCCCTCATCTGAAGAAAGGAGGTGCTGACTGTAAGGCAAAAATGCTAAAATATCCAATTTATGAAAAATATTCATCTTCGTTTAAATATACTTTGTTGCATGGAATTTAAAGCCATAGTATTCCTGGCCTGTTGGGCAGTGACAGAACCTGCAAACTAAAAACGGGTAGAAAAACCTACATAGTGTTCAATATGGAGACAGCATTTCATAAAAAGTATTTCAGCATCTCTTCAAAGACTCAATGACAAAAAAGGACTTACTTTCCTTTAGCTAATTACCTTTAAACCCTATTAAATAGCATTCAATACAAGACTGGTGCGAACAGCACAAGGCTGAACAGAGGATGGCCAGAATCCAAGTATCTTGCCTTCAGCAGAAGGAAACAGCTGCCTATCTCAGATCTTTCACTTATCGAACACCTCCAAAACTATCCATACTCATTTGTTCTTTCCTCGTTAAACCATCAGCCTGGCAGCTGCCTGCACAGAACAGTCAAGAGTTAAAATCCATGGAAACTGATAGCCAGACTCCCAGTGACTGCACTAGGCTTTGGACCAGACCCACCGTTCCCCAAAGCATGGTATCTATATCCTATTTTAATTATTTCAGTCGGTTGCTTGCCTGTGTACACAAGCACAAGATGAGCACAACCTGCTGTAGCTGCAGAGCTCCCTGCGCATTGCGCAGGTGTGTTGCACTAGACTACCGTTAAAGGTCCCTTCCAACCCAAACAATCTATGATTCTATGAGGAACAGAACACCTGTTCCCATGACCGTAGACTAACTGGCAATAGCACAGGAATCATTCACAGCGCTACGACAACTCGATGTCACCGTACTATTAAACTTTTTGGACTAGACGTTAGGGGAACTTGGATGGCTTTCCTTACTGCCTTCACTCTCCCCAGCAGGTACACACAGAATCAAGCCACGCTGTCGCTACATTGCCCACTGCTTGTTGAAAACTCAGTGATGCTGTACTGAGGAATTGCTGCAAAGTCAGTTGTTTTTATTGCTCTTCGAGACACTTCAGTGTGCACATGAGATTTCTGTAAAGAAGTAATCCGGTGTCCATTGGGTCTGGCAGTTGAATACAGGAGGCAACAAAACCCTCCAAATGTGGAGTTTTGTTGCCTTAAAGAACACATCCCTCCCTCTAGGATCCAGACAACCATATAACTGCAGACCTGTCTCTCTGAAGAGGGTCAGTCCCCTTTGGACAAAGTCCACAGTAGCACAGCTAGTCCTTGTCCTGGCTGAGGGCGAAGGGTATTGTTTGCTTCTGCTAGAAGTTTAAGGGAGAAACTGCCCTTTTACAAAGGTTTAAATACTCTTACTCATTTCAATACAAATTTTCTTACTGAAAAACAACTCAAAAGACAGACAATAAATTGAGGCACACCTGAATAGTTTGGTCCTGGAAAGAACCAATACATACACTTGCTTCTTTCCCAGCAGCAAGCATACTTCAGGGAGGAAAACAAGTTGATTGATTGATTTGGTTTCAGTGCAATTCCAAAACCACTCCACAAGTGAACTGCTGGCAGGGCACCAGCGCTATTTTGTTATTACAAAATGCCATAAGGAACATGGCTGTAAGCGCATGAAGTTCATTTCTTGTCGCAGTGCTGTCTACTTTCGGCAGTGGTCGGGGGAGCCCATTTTGCTTTGTGTTCCCTGAGATAACGAGCATTCCCACACAGCTCCCGCTCCCTCAGCTGAGACGTGGCTCCAAGAGAAAATGTTGTAGCTGGTCTGAGATCACAAGTACTTGTCTGATCACGCTTTCAGAGGAAAGCTCACCCAGATAGTATTATTTATTTATGGACACATTAACATGATTCACCCTGTGCTGACATTTTTGGAGATGCCTGTGCCCTTTGTAATAATTCAAGACCATATTTTTGCTTTTTGTTTTTTTAAACGAATGCAATGTTCATTTATTTTTGTACTTACAAAAAGACCCACCCCATTGTATCCCTCCCCTCCCCCCAAATGCCTTTTACAAACATTTAAAAATTAAAAACCAGATGACGTGTTAATTTGGCAGAATTATTTTGAAACATAGCTTTTGTAATTAGAGTTAAACTTCCTACAAGATGACTTTGTAGAGATAGCCTGATTATTGGCCAAATAAAATACCATATTACAAGTTAGCAAATTCTAGTACAAAAATAGTCCATGTGTTAGAACAGCCTCTTATTATTATTATTATATTCACAGGAAGAGTCTATTGGCTGCATAATACCTTAATATTTATGAAATTTCTTTTTACGTGGCTCATTCATCTAATTTAATATAGTGTTGAGCCTCAATAAATCCTCAGGCAAAAAACCCTAAACAGGGTTAAATACGCTGTTCAGTGTACTCTGAAGTACTGTGCTTTTCACAGGACATCCAAGAAACCCCACAAACAGTTCTTAGCTAGTTTTGATATTAAAATGAGATCCAGATCCAAAAGGACCCCCCTGAAGTACATATCCACGACTTTCCATAGAAACAGAGGCCACAGCATTGATGGTTAAGTTTCACTTGGGAAACGGTCTAGCTCATCCACTCATCATTTTCACAAATCCACTTGTGAGCTTCTTTAAAAACTAAAGCAGGTCACTCCTGAAGCATCCGCGACCCTTACAGCACTGCCCTCTTCAGGAGTGTCCCTACTGACCGGGCTCTTGCTCCTCTTCTGTCTCTGGTTAATGCTGTTCAGCAGTTTCTCTCGGACCAGGCCCCGCAGGGAAAATCTGGGGAAATGCTATTTGTCTCTCAAGATGTCTAGCTGCTCTTGATATTCTGTGAAAAGCCTCTGGAAGCGGAGGTTCTGTCCAATAACAGGAAGAAGCTCTTTCAATAGTTCTCTCTTTCGTAAACCCTGCACAAAACACATAAAAGCATCCTCAGAACGTATTACTCAGTATCATGAATATATTCCATAAAGCTGTTTGATTCATGCCCATTTTCCTGCCTGGAAAGAGCTATGCATTTTATGTTCTTACTGTGTTTACGTGACTCCCAGAATAAAAACTGTCTTTACATTTATATACTCATGAAGCTGGTGCAGCCTCTGCAGTTACAGACTCCAGGCATGGTCTGAGAAGGGAAGACATTTCATTGGCATGTCACTATTTCAGAGTTGCTGTCTGAAGAATGTGGAGACCTGAAGATACAACTCTGCTCCATCTGTGTGATACTCCAGACAGCATCAGAGCCGAGACTGTGGCAGTAAGCATTAGTCTACAGTTTCACATGAAAAAATACAAGCTACATGGGAGGAAGCTTGCTTATGAGATTAGAGCAGAGTATGGAAAGGGTTCCAGGGTCAGCAAAAATAACGTGATTGCTTTTTTGCCACTAAGTTCAACCATATTTTAAGTTCTGTTGCCTATCCATGTCCTGTAATTTTCACGGGAAACTTTTCCTCATTCTTTGTTAAACTATTATCAGGGCTTACCATAACTGTTGATTCCCACTGACTTCCAGCTGAGTAATGGACTGGACCCAGTAAATCCTTGCATAATTCTCGCAAACGATATTCAAACCCTGAATATTAGCAGAAATAAAATCACATTCATAAGCATTTCACTATATATAACCACTTCACAATGTAAGTGACAACGTTCAGGAAAGAGTTAGAAGTGTCTGGAATAAAAGAAAGCCAAAAACATTGATTTCTGAAAAAAGTATTATTCTTCTAACAGCAAATCTTTGGAAGGATAAGATGATTTGTAAAGCACTACTAAAGATGATCTACGATAGGGAGAAAAACTGAAGTAGTTACTCCAGTTTGTTTTAAGAGCTGCCCTGATCTCAACCTCACTTCCTCCTCCCAGATAAAGATAGTAGCTTTTAAAAAAAAAACCAAACAACAAAAAATTGGAAAACTGACAGACTTCAACAGCCAGAGAACTAATACAAAAGAGGTATCACAGGAGTTGGAAAGCCACAAAATGAAAACCAGTGAAGAGGAAAAGTTGTTAGGTTGCATTTAATGGCAATATATGAATTTGGAAAAATGGAGTCAGTAGTTTAAAAAAACATGCTTCAGACATCTTTCTGAAACATTAAAGTATTACTAAACTAGAAGAGATCTCTCAAACCCTTAGGAAATGAGCTTATAACAAAATTAAAATGGATCCAATTAATATGCACAAGTCAAAAAAAAAAATTTAATAAAGCCACACAGTTTCCAGGACAGCTTTATTAACCCAAAAAACAGAGGGGAATTCCCTTGCAAGTGACAAATCTGTTCAAGAGTAACTTGCCAATCAAGGTATAATAGATTGAATATTTTAATGGATTAGAATTCATTAAATGTTGAAATCATCACAGGAATAAAGGGGCAACAATAGGATATGCAATTTTCAAAATTTAGCAGACCTAGAAAACTAGTGAAACAGTAATTAATACATGTATGGCAAAGCAGAATTTGCAAACATCCAGTGTATACACACACGCAAGGCAGTGACATTTGTGCAGTGCAAGATGAACCCTGCACACACAATACAGAGGTTCTCAATTAGTAAAGACTTTTAAAAGTATAACCGTCTCTTTAATGTATGACCCAAGATGAACATTTTAATTTCAGCTGGGGAAGGACAGAGAGAATCGTATACAGTTCATCAAGCTCTCTTGTTAAATAAGGTAGGGGTCAAAATGTAAGAATTAATGAGCTCAATTTTTATTCTGCCAACACCAATTAGGTGGCCTAACATGAACCATTTCGCTTGCCTCTGCATAAAATGATTAGGCATGGTGAGGAATAAGGCTGAATTAATGCAATGGGAACTACTAGATTTGGAATGCAGACAAGCAGAGATCCAACACAGATCTTTAGAATCCAAGAAGCATGAAGTCAGTTGGTTAACTGTATTTAACGCAATAGCATAGAGATATAGTGTATTCAAATAGACACAAGCAACCTTTCTTGTGGGTTTCTTTCCTCACAGAATTTAACTGGTGGAGCTCACCAGTACAGGCTGTTGAAATTTTAGAATGTAAAAAAAGTATAAAGTGCAAGTAACACAAGCAAATTCTCTGCAGTTTTATGTGCTCTGGTAAAAGTGTCAGAGACCAAGCAACTCTTCCCTTTCACTTCAGGCAGTGATCATCAGTTGGCTGATGAATGTTAGGTATTTTACAAGGTATTGCTGGTTCCTCTGAAACATATAGTTGCTGCCCGATAATACATACGATATGCCTGACAGACCACTGGACTTTTTTTAGAATGCAATTCCTGCTACTGAAGTCCACAGATGGCACTGTTTCCCCAGACCATGATCTGCTCACAGTCCGTGTGTTAAAACAGGATTCCTCAGTACGGAGCACTATAGGAAGAAAATACGCTTCAGTAGTTTGTTTTTGGTCTTAAGTAAACACTGAGTCCAGAAGTCAAGTGCTAAAAGGAGAACGTTAAGTGCAATCACACAGAGACATGATGTGAAGAGAGCGTTTCTTAAAAAATTCATCAGAGCTGCAAAGAAGTAACACAGCATGGCAGGTCTTACCTTCATTAACTAGGTACCGTGCATAGATAAGGAGCCAGTGGCGATATTCATGACTGGATTGTAACATAAGTGCTGCTGCTATCTGGTTCTCCAGGTATGCAAGTGTTGTTTCTTGTTGCACTAAATGAGGCATGGAGAACAATCTTGCAGCTTGCCTTCCTGAACTACAAAACCAAAGAAAAATTAACACGCCAGCCATAAAATCAGATACTAGTTTAAGGAAGACATATTTTTGTAGCACAAGCTATTCTACACTTATCTTTCAGAAGCACCTAGTGATTCCAGAGTTCAAGCTTTTGATGACAAAGGCAGCAGTTCATAGCAAACTGCCTTCCCCCACACTGGGCCACTTACAAGTATCAAGGTCCATGGAGGGGTTTTTGCCTCCCATTTTCCTGTTTTTTCTCTCTCCTCCCATCTTTAAAAACACATGCTTATCAGTGACCAAATGCCTCTGAATGCTTATAGGAAATTAAGATGACTGCCTTTACCTTTCTTTGCCCCTCACAGGTGAAAGTCACAAAACAAACACAAGACATAAAGTTAGCCTAAAGCATTTAAAGGATTTCTTGCAAATACATGCATTGTCATAAGAAGGCTAAATTGAAAAAAGTAACCTATTATTTCCTTTTTGAAAAAATGGCTAATTTTTCAATGTGATATTTTCTCTCTCTCAAAAAGAGAGTGTTGTTTGCTTGGATTTAAAATATTTTCCCCAATTAATTCCACACACCCCCTGCCCCTGCCAAGAGAACAGCAATAAAATCATGTAACTCTATACAGTTTCTCTCACCATAAAAATTGAACTTAGATCTGAAGGACAGAAATACCACAGAAATCTGCCTGGGAAATCTAATTCAAATCCAGGTGAGGACGGGCTATTAATTTACCTACAGGAGTCTGCTCTGGCTCACACAACTCCCTGGTGATATTTTCAGATGTTAAAAATATTAATTAGATGACTAATCGTTCAACTTTCTCAAAGGCTTCATTAAATAGATCCCTTGAGGACAACTGAACTACTCAAAATTTGTAGGCGTATTCCAGAGAGCCAGTAAACTAAAAATTAAAATGTACAATGTAAGAAATTTGGTTTAACTAATCAAAATACTACATGTACAGAATTGTAAATACTTTACCCATCCAATAAAGAGAAGCCCTGAAATGATTAAGTTTTAGAGCATGCCTTCCTGCCCCGCAAACAATCTCAAAGTAACATTAAGATACAGACTATAAATGTGCAAAGGTTTGAAAAAAAAAAAAAAACAACGTATGAGCTACTGATAACTTCAGAGCCATTAGCATCTTAAGAATTAACTCACTGATTCAAGTACATGAATAAATAATAGGAAAAAGAAAAAAAGAAGACAAACATGCTGATCAAATGAAGCAATTAAGTGCTTACTTTGATGTTCGTCCCTGTATTACAGCTAAGGGCCCAGAACACAGCATGGCTTCTTGGGATGGTAAACTATTCCTGAAGTCTGCACATTGTGCTAGAGAGTCCTGTTTGTCAGAAACAAGATTCCTGAAAAAAAGCAAACGAACAAAACCCAAGTTTGAGGAGAGTAGGTAGCAATATCAGGGGATCGAGCTCTGTTCTGCCTCAAAGCCCGACTTGTATTTTCACAGATAACCAAAAAAATATCACCGCGGTGCTCAGGAATTCCACAGACCCCAACTGTTCCCACTCCATGTACAAATTCAGCTTGTGCTGTCACAGAAATGTCCCTCACACCCAAAGTTCACAACATTAATCGCATAATACAATTTAGCATTAGTTTTGAAGGAAATGAACTTTCTACTTGTTATTTTACATCTAATAAGAAGTCATGCCCCAGAACGAAGATCTGAGTGAACACAGGTAATGGCTTTCTCGTTAAGAGCTTGATTTTACCTCATGTGTCAGGTCCCCTCACCCACCAGACAAGTCATCACAGATCAAACATATTGACAATCTTTCCCATACATCACAGCTATTCCTTCCTATGGAGGGAGTTGACAGTTACAGCTGGCATTTCCACACCTAATCAAGGATATCATTTTCACTGGTTTAAGATGCAAAGGGAATCAGTGGCTCAAACCAATGCTAAGTTTAGACCTCCAGACAGCTCATAGGTAAAATGGTACAAATATTTAAAATACCCTTTACTGCTTTATTATGTTTAAATTTGTATGACAACTAAAGGGATTGGTCTTTTATATATTTCCAAAGCTGTGGTACAAACTAACAAATGACAGTAAATTCAGAATTATGGCTGAGAGTCTGTCCCCTACTCCTTATTGACTGGGAGGATTTCTGCATAATTTCTCAGTTTATCTAAAGAACAAATAAGGTGTTTTTTCTTTTCCAAAAGATTCACATCCAGTAGTTGACTAATAACAATTATTCTAAGGAGGAGTTAAAACAATAAGCCCTTTCATCAAGCATGCTCATTACACTAAGTACAACAATTACATTAAGACTGCAACATGTTTTTTCTTCTTAGAAAGACAACAAAGAATCTGTTTTGGAAAGACACTTTAAATAATTTAACCATGGAAATTTTTTAATGGGAACTTACACCTTGACAGAAGTAAGAGAATCCAGTGGGAAAGCCTATCTGATGCCCAACAAGGTACAGACTCTTATGTAGCTTTTCCTTGTGTTTAGGACATCAGTAACGACTCTTCCATGGGAATTCTCTGAGTTATAATGATTTCTTCCCTCCTACCCCTACCTGACTTACTATCTTCAGTAAACCTTTACATCCTGGAGACAAAGAGCTCTCTTCCAACTTGACTGGTCATGAGATTCAAAAAAAAATATTAAGGAGTGATGGGGACTGACAAAGTCAGGTGCATAGGCGTTCAGGATTGGAGTGCATAGGTCTTATTTTCTCTGGAAACTAAGCAAAATAATTTTAACATGTCTACTAAACTCCCAGAAAAACTATGATACTCGTTTTGACAAATTTTCCAGAACTGCATTCTTAAAAAAAAAAAAAAAAAAAAAAAATCAAAAATCATTACCAACTGTTTGACAGATTCAACTGAAGTACATCAGCAAAAGTATATATAGGTGTATGTTAATAAATAAGAGAGTATGCACTGTGTAGGAAAGAGTTTTTTTTGTAAGCTGTAGTTTAACTTTTCCATTTTTCTGTATTTATTTTAAACATAACAACCCATAAGAATATAATAAAGCCTAGACATACAATACTGAACCAAAGTAAAACTAAGCCTGGTGTCCGATCCTACTCAGACTAACCTTCAAAATACAGAGTGAAACAGTAAATCAGAATACACATCAGCTCAGCTAAGTCGTAAAAGCAGGAAATAATGTTTAACTTACCATGTAGAAAGAGAAGGATTAAAACAGTATGCCTTTCCATCAGACATGCTCATTACAGGTATACCATGCTGAGTCAGCAAGATCTGAGAGACAGTTGCATCACTTCCTACAAGTCAAATCAGACCAAAAATATTTCTTTTGGAGTTTTGCTTAACATTCATAATGGTAAAAAATGGTATCCACCATTAATTATCAGTGATAGCAACCAACAGAAAAAGGTTCAGTCAATGTTATTCTCAAGCACTGATAAGAAGGTCAAGTCACAAGATAATGATGGTAAGCACCAGGCTCAGTGCAGTAGCATTAAAATCACTCTTTTGCAAAATACATTATCAATCTTGATGCAGCAATTTATACAGAACATGGGCTTAATTGGAAATGTTCTCCATACCTAGGGGCAATCTTCAGCAATTCTGTCATGTCTTCTGTAACCCAAGAAGCCTTTATCTTTCTTTTCCTCATTAAATTAAAATTCTAAAACCCAGTACATTTAGAAAAGTGTTCTCTCTAAGAACAGTATAAGTGGGATAGCCGGAGTCTCTCATTTCCCAGCATATTCCAGGCCCAGGGTTTGTACATGTAACTTCTAATGAAGACATTTGCAAACTGCTAGTACAACTACTTCTCTAGGTAGTCTTCATTAGTACTGCATGGATTAAAGCTAAAACAGAATCCAATATGCTCTGAGACACTCCTTTTTTAATAACTTGTTTTGTGTCAGATATTGGCAATGATAGAAACTGAAGATTTTGAAATAATGAATCAGCAGATAATCAGTTGTTGTTCATCGTTAAGATGATAAACATGCAAAGTACACACGCAGAAACTGCCGTAATAGCAGCTTTACATTAAATATTTATTTTGTGATCTTCACATCACTGAATTTTCATATTCAGAAGCAAGCTAGAATACAATAAGCTGCAGAATCTCGTACAAGTCTGTTACCCGCGGATATTCTCATCTCAGTTATTTCTACAGTATTTCAATGTTGCCCATGACTTCCCTTTATTACACAATACAAAAGGAAAATTATTTGTTTAGGCTTTCAAGGTTTTGTAAAATTTCAGCGTATTCATAAATGGCACTAAATAGTACAGGTGGGCTCAAAGGTTGGTAACTAAATGATCCTTTTTATTACCTGAAAATATTGTTTGCAAAGATTCATCTCTAACAATTGCTGTCTGCTTGTGAACGTCCCTGAAAAAGACAAAAGGACAAGTCTGTAGTTTACAAACAACTGAAAACTCCAAAAATATTTAACAAATGCACTTCTTCAATATTCATGACAAAGTAGGTTTTTTGGGGAGTTTGGTTGGTTGCTTTTTTAGTTTTGACATTTTATTCATTGCTTCGACAAAATTGTTTTGGCAAACTCAAACCCTTACAGCAAGACAGAAGTCAACAACAGAGAACAACTTTTATGGCTCTTTATCAGGAAACCTCATTACAGCTAAGCAAACACTAAGGATCCAAATAACTCCTTTAGGAGCTCTGACTTGCATGAGACATTAGATTAAATTCAACAACTGTAAACAAGTTACTGCAGCTTTTATCTTAGTATCTTGAAGATGGCTAGAGTACTTCTAACTCTGAAACTCATGTACTTTATTGGCTAAGTATGATGGAAGTTGGAAGTATCCATCTTTCTCCTTTCCCTCCCGACTCAATCTACTCCATATGCATGACAAGTCTATCCTAGGAAGGCTATTTAAACTCGTAACTTCTAGCTGATCCTTTATCTTCCTTCTGGAATCAAATTCAGTATTATGGACTGTCCTAGAATGGAGAAGAAACAGGATTCAATTCCTGCCCAGTTAAATCTTCATATTATATCCAAAAGTGGATTTGTGTTCAGACCTGATGTGGTTTAAGTCCAAGTTTCAACAGCAGTGCATTGACACAACTGAACAGAGTTACCTATAAAAATCAGCCCAGCCAGCTGGTGCAGCCTAACATGGTACTTACCAAACAGAGAGCGTAGCAGCAGTGGTGAGAGCCATGATGTAAGAACCTGTGCAATGTAGGGTGGAAATGGGTGTATTCAATATTATAGGAGGAAGAAGGCGACGACCACAAGCTGAAAATACCGACAGTGTTCGTTTCTCACAGGCTACACTTACAATCTCACTAAAAACAAAACAAAACAAAACCCATAAACATTTACATTTTGTCAAATGTGAGTAGCATAAAACCAGACTGATTTCTTAAGTTATCATACAAACTGGGCTAATTCCCCAAGAGGTAACTATTACAGCTTCTTAAAAAAATCCTGGGTACAAAAAGGAAAGGCCAAAAAACGAGACAGATTTATATATATATTTTTACATATATATATTTTAT